CCCTCCTGTACCAGAAGGCCAGCATCCACAGCTCTCAGATACCAGCTCCCTTCCAGAGAACACCAATCTTTTGGACATGGACACAGATTCTTCCTGCCCTCTTTCCATACAGGCGGCATTGGCTACTTCTCTGGCACACGCTCCAGAAAATTTAAAACTCCCCAGCTTGAAAGATTTCAGTCACTGGGTTACATTCAGTGATGACGAAGACAGTAGTGCGCTGTCAGAAGGGTTCAACAAACTGCTTGTCTTCGAACAAAACAAAAATACCTTGAAGACAACAAATACTGATTTAGAGTTGTAAAGTTTTGTCCCCTTAATGTTCCTATAGAAATCAGAATTATGATGCAAAATAAGAATAGATCTTTTGCACAAAGATTTTTATTTAAGGAAATAGATCATCTGTCCACGCTACGTTTCATTTTCATGTTTAGAGATAAAGATACTGCCCCTGGAGGGAAGTGTATAGAATATATACAACCTAACATCATCTACAGCTTGTTTGAAAAGTTCTTTATTCTAAGTTATTTCTTTTTATTAATCCATCTTAAGATGTTTTATTTCATTTCAGGTACAAATCATATGTAAGAACATGTAACGATGTATGGAAAAAAATGTTAAGAAAAACATTTTCCTGTGAAATTTATATATTAATCAATTTCTGACACTTGAAATAAAGAACCCTTGAATAGTTAGACTGCTACAGTTATTCTGGAACAAACATCCAAAAGGGGAATATATACCAGTGTAACTAACGACAGCAGTAACACCGGTATTGTTCCGCTACTAAGTTTCTGCTCTGGAAACAAGGCTTAGACAGTATCTTCTCGTAGATCTTCACAGCTGCGGTGTTGGTACTTACCTTGTTAAACTCATTCCTGTGTTAACACAAAAGGTGTGTACTATGAGGCTGTAAAGCAGAACCATGAGAGGTGGTGCCCCCACATCAGCCAGAAATGCCTGTTCTTACTCCAGACCAGGCAAGCGAACCCCGAATTACAACAGACCTCTTCGCAGTGCTGTGCTCTTAATGGCACTGTAATAACACGCCTCGGTTATTCTAAAAGGACTGGGTCTCCTCAAAATACTGCTCTGACCTACCATCCTAGTTGGTTTTCTACAGCAGTTCCAAAGCTCACCCTGGTTTTTGTTCACAGCTAGCCAATGCCAAACAACATACTTTACAGTACGGAAATAGCATGTGGACAATGACAGTCCCTTCTCTTCTCAAAGAAACGCTGTAGTTTCTGTGCAAATAGAACCGCTATTATCTATGCAAATACTGTGGAAATATGGTGAAAGTTGAGAGCAGCTGGTGACATAGATCATTAGCATATTACTGTCTTATGCTAAAGGCGGTTTAGTAATTCAGTAGTTGTGTCCCTGTTCCCATTCTGCTGCTTTGTAAGAAAATGCCACGTCAGTCTTTTATTATCACAGTGCAGATGAGGAAAGAGCTGGTCTCGGAACCTAACTTTATGCACGTGCAACACAGGCTGTTAGGCCACAAGCACACGACCGGGGATGGCAGAACCCTCCCGCAGAGAGGAACAGTCGCTTACGGCCTAATAATGAGCTTTACTGTGAGCGGGCAAACTCAACTTGGACACCAAACTGGTAGGCTGGTAGGGGGCAGAAGCGTGTAGAGCTACTGCTCTCGCTGTGCATTTCTGCCGATCGTCAGCTGCGCGGTCTGTTTTCTTCCAGGGAAGGAGCTGCCGTGTGCTTCCCATTCACCTCAGCAGCTGTGGTAAAGCTGCGCTGCAGCAGAGGGCATCTAAGACTGAGGACAAATTCAGGAAGCATGTGCACTGCTGTGAATAAAGCTGTTGCTCAGGTGCACTGTGCATCCATACAGGGAGTGTACCTAGGAGGCAGCTGCAACGCACAGAGTAAGACTAACAGACAAGCAACTACTATAATCTGCTCTATGCAGGTTCTTGCAAACGAAAGGTTTGAACGATGATCATGTTCAATGGTTCAGACTATGACAGCCTACCTAGGGGAAGCACCCCGTTAACCACCGTAGAAACTCCAGGCAAGTACTCCTGCGTGCTGCTTTGCTTCTCCCTTACGCTTACCCAGCATTCCACCAGAGCCTATAGGACAAGTGTTTCAGGTGCGTCTATAGGTCACTTACCATGGTGGGCTGACTCATGAAGTATTGCTGCTCAGCTCGGCGCAGACTTGACCTTCATAATGAAGTCATCTCTCATTTATTACCGAGCCAGCAGTCTCGCTTCTCAGAAGCCCAAGATTTTGGCGAGGATAATCCGTGGTGCTAAATGTGTCTCTGATCTGCTCTAGCTGCACAGGCTTTGCCTTGCCTGTGCAGTAAAACCGTACACTATAGATGCCATTTGTTCAAAGCAGGCAGTTAAAAATGATAAACAGGTTGCAACTTGTCACGGTAACTTGTTACCGGAAGCATCAAGACCTTTTATTATTAAAGGAAGGAGAGCAGTTTTAAGCAGTTGGTGAAGCTGAAAAAACCCTTGTCTTCTGATTTTTTTTTTTTTTGCAGAAAAGATGTATTAAAAAAGTTCAGAGGTTTTTTTCCCATAGGAAAATCAATTGGCTTGTTCTCAGCTCCTTGGAAACTGGGAATTCAGCCATTTTCTTACTTGCAATGCCTACCTGTTTCAATGCCGCTGCCGAATTTTGAACACAAGACATCCTGTAAGAGAGGATGCTGCCCTTGAGCACCTGCCATCCTCCTCTGCTCCCTCGTTTGCCAGACACTCTAAAAAAAATCCCCAAAACCTGCAAAGGCCAAACCAATAAAACCCAGTGCTAAGCTTCTTACGTAAGGGAAGCTTACTTTAACGTGGTAGCAGGCTGGTGAATAATGCTGAAGC